CGGTGGGGTGGTGGTGCTGAAACTAGCAGAAGAGGCCATAATGGCAGGAACTCAATGCAGGTCAGAACTTTGGAAGAAGTGGGCTTCTTAGAACTCCTCAAATTCCACCACCCTATAATTTCCTCTCTCCACAAGTAGGAAATACACGGAGTGAGGTTTAAGACAATTCCATGTAACTTTGGCTTATCTCCTAAATGTTAGGTGTGATCTGGATACTACAGATAACAGCTAAAGATCAAAGCAGGGAAGAACAATGAAGAATTTACTACATTGTCTATTATCAAGGTTAATCATTATATTTTTAAATATTATTTTTGTATCCTCACCCAAGGATATGTTCATTAATTTAGAGAGAGGAGAGAGAGAGAGAGAGAGAGAGAGAGAGAGAGACATCGATGTAAGAGGGAAACATCGATTAGTTGCCTCCCATATGTGCCCCTACCAAGGATTGAACCCGAAACCCAGGTATGTGCCCTGACTGGGAATTCACAACTTTTGGTGCACAGGACGATGGTCCAACCAACTGAGCCACCTGGCCAGGGCCATTATCTTTTTTGTTGTTTATTTTCTTTTTGTATGTTTTCAATTACACATGACATTCAATATTAGTTTCAGGTGTACAGCTTGGTGGTGAGACATCAATATAATTAAGAAGTGATTCCCCCCAGTAAATCTAAAACCCACCTGGCACCATACATAATTATTATAATGTCTTTTATTAAGAGGTTTGGTTTCCATTAAAAGCTCAACTACCCAGAAAGAAAAAGAAATGTGTTTGCATTTCAAGTGTGAGGACATGGCCCAGGCTGTCTTTCTCAAGGAGGCTCAGGCTACCTCGGTGTCCTCTAGCATTATCACCTGTGAGTCCAAGCTCCTTTCTATCCAAGATAAGAAATGCTTACCCTTCACAGTAGATATATAAATAGGGCTTTGATTCATGAATTAATTTTCTTTCCTGTGGCAGGCATAAATTTTGCTTTCAGTTCTCTAACATCTAACTTTTAGGAATGACTGCTAGATGAGAGCTTCAAATACACAATCTATAATAATAAAAGCATAATATGCTAATTAGGCCGGACAGCCAAATGACCTTCCAGATGAAGCCGGGGCTGGGAGGGCCGAGGCAAGCTGCCATGGCTGCTAGGGCTGAGCCCCTTGCATGAATTTCGTGCATCTGGCCTTTAGTACATATAATAATAGTACAATAGTCATAGTTATAGACATTCAGATACTATTTGAAAAATATTTATGCCTCCATTGCTCTTATAAAGGGTGTCCCAAAAGTCATGCAGAAGTAATTTTGATAGAAAACACAGGTTTAGAGAGAAACCAAAATGGCGGCAAACACCAGAGATTGCTGCTTCGCACAACCACTTCAAAAATACAACTAAAAGACGTAACGGACATCATCCAGAACCACAGGAAGGCTGGCTGAGTGGAAATTCTACAACTAGAAGGAAAGAGAAAAGCATACCGAGACTCAGAGGAGGTGCGGTGCGGAAGTAAAGTACAGAGGTATGGAGGTGCACAGGGAGAGGGCTGGCGGCTGAGGACACGGTTGTCTTTTTCAATCGGGAGGGAGTCTCAGGCTCTGAGCTCCAGTTCCGGGCAAGTCTCTGGGGACCCAGACTCATACGGGAGAAACTGGACTGTCTGGCATCGGTCGGAACTCGAGGGCAGCTTTCTCTCGGAGGTGCTTGCAGCAATTGCTGGGACACTGAGAAGCGGGGCCTCTGAGGGCAGCCATAGCTGCTTGCTCCGCCCTGTTGATCCCCTGGGACCCCGCCCCGCCCAAGCCATGCACGGAGGCTTTTGCATATGAAAGGCCTGGCCCTTTGCAACCTGAAAATTACCTAACAAATTGCAGCTGGCCCAAGGCCCCATGACAACTCAAATTGCTTCACAGCTGGCTCCTGCTGGGTAGCCTCAGGATGGGTAGCCTGAAGAGGCTAGATTAGCACCTCCTTAGAGATCCAGGAGCCAGTGTGCCCGATGGTCAGAGTGGGACCATTCAGATTGCAGCAGCTCGGATCCATAAAGGACACACTCAGGGGGCAGACTCAGTGAGCACCAAAGCCCCA